GTTATGATCCACACAGTTGAATGTTTTTGTGTAGTCAATAAAGCACAGGCAAACACCTTTCTGATATTCTCTGTTTTCCACCAAGATCTATCTGACATCAGCAATGATATCACTTGTTCTATGTCCTCTTCTGAATCCAGCTTGAATTTCTGGCAGTCCCCTGTTGATGTACTACTCCAATCAGTATTGGAATTTTCAGCAAAATTTTACTTGCATGTGACATTAATGATGTTGTATGATAATTTCCACATTCTGTTAGATCATCTTTCTTTGGAATGGGCACAAATATGGATCTCTTCTAGTCAATTGGCCAGATATCTGCCTTCCAAATTTCTTGGAATAAAAGGGTGAGTGCCTCCAGCCCTACACTCATTTGTTGAAACGTCCTAGTAGGTATTCCATCAATTCCTGGAGCCTTGTTTTTCACCAATTCCCTTAGTACAGTTTGAACTTCTTCCTTCAGTATCATCGGTTCTTGATCTTATGCTACCTCCTGAAATGGCTGACCATCAAACAATTCTTTCTGGTACAGTGGATCTGTGTATTCCTTCCATCTTCTTTTAATGCTTCCTGCATCATTCAGTGTCTTGTCCATAGAATCCTGCAATCTTGCAACTTGAGGCTTGAATTTTTTTTTGTTCTTTCAGCTTGAGAAATGCCAAACGTGCTCTTCCCTTTAAGTTTTCTAACTCCAGGGTTTTGCCTATTTCATTGTCTCTCAAGCCACCCTTTGAAATCTTCTGTTCAGCTCTTTATTCATAATTCCTTCCATTTGATTTAGCTACTCTACGTTCAAGAGCAAGTTTCAAAGTCTCTTTGACATCTTTTTTTTTTCTATCTTTTTAATAAATAACCTTTTGCTTTCTTCATATATGATGTCCTTGATGTAATCCCTCAACTTATCTGATCTTCAGTCAGTTTTCAATGCATCAAATCTATTCTTGAGATGATCTATAAATTGGGATGGGATATACTCAAGGTTGTACTTTGGCTCTCGTGGATTTGTTTTAACTTTCTTCAGCTTCAACTTGAACTTGCTTATGAGCAATTGATGGTCTATGTCTTGGTTCTCTAGTGGTGCTATAACAGAAATACCACAAGTGGATGGCTTTAACAAACAGGAATTTATTCTCTTGAAGTTTAGGAGGCTAAAAGTCCGAGTTCAGAGTGCCAGCTCTAAGGGCTGGGTGAAGACCCCTAGACCTTGGGCTTCAGCTCTACCTCCTGTTCCAGGCCCATTACAGCTGGAGGCGTCTTCTAAGTCATGCAGCTGCTAGCTGCTGAGGCTGATGAACCCAAGATTGGCAGGTAAAATAGCACAATCCCAAAATCAGCAGGCAACCTGGCAAACCAGTGGTTCAAGTCCAGGAATAATGCCAAGATCAGCAGACAACATGGCCCAAAATGTGCCTAAAAGCCAGAGACCTTTCCCAAAGCTTCTCCATATATACTGCAAGCAGGTTACATGCCAAAGCAACTGCTTAGCTGCTCACAGCAGAGGCCGCCAGGGTGGCAATTCCAGTCTCATCACAAGAGATGACTGCATCCAGCTGCCAAACCACTCAAAACCATAGCCCAGCAAAGCTGATACACAACCGTAACTACCACACTCTGTCCCACAGTTGGCCCATGGCCTTGTCCTCACTGATGTTATTGAGCTTCTCCATCATTTCTTTCTACAGATATAGTAGATTTGATTCCTGTGTATTCCATCCAGTGAGGTCCATGTGTATAGGCACCATTTATGTCATTGAAAAAAGGTATTTGCAGTGAATCAGTGACTGGTCTCACAAGATTTTATCATGTGATCTCTGATGTCATTCTATTACCAAGGCCTTATTTTCCAACTACTGATCCTTCGTTTCCAACTTTCACATTCCAGTCACAGCTTGACTGCAGCATGTTTGACCAATTTCAGACTGCAGAAGTTGGTAAATATCTTCAATTTCTTCATCTTTGGCATTAGTGGTTTGTGCATAAATTTGAATAGTAGTCGTATTAACTGGTCTTCCTTGCAGGCATATGGATTTTATCGTATCACTGACAGCATTGTACTTCAGGATAAATTTTGAAATGCTCTTTTTGACAATTAATGCAGTGCCATTCCTCTTCAATTCGTCATTCCTGGCATAGTAGACCACACACACACATACACACACACACATTGCCGTCGAGTCGGACCTGACTCATAGCGACCCCCCCTTGGGTTTCTGAGGCAGTATCACTACGGAAGTCGATTGCCCAACCTTCCTTCCAAGGAGTGGCTGGTGGGTTTGAACCACCAGCCTTCTGGTTAGCAGTCAAATGCCTTAGATTGTCCAATTCAAAATGGATAATCCCAGTCCTTTTCAGCTCATTGAGGCCCATGATATCGATCTTTATGTGTTCCATTTCATTTTTGACTATTCTAATTTTCCTACATTCATACTTCATGTATTCCCTGTTCCAATTGTTAATGGATGTTTGCAGCTATTTCTTCTCATTTGGAGTTTTGCCACATCAGCAAATGAGGGTTCTGAAAGCTCTACTCCATCCATGTCATGGAGGCTACTTTGAGGAGACAGCTCTTCCCGAGTCATATTTTGAGTGCCTTCCAACCTGAAGGGCTCATTTTATGGCACTATATCAATGTCCCGCTGCTATTCTTAAGGTTTGCACTGGCCAGTTTTTTCAGAAGTAGATCACCAGGTCCTCCTTCCTAATCTGTGTTAGTCTGGAAGCTCTGCTGAAACCTGTCTACCATGGGTGACCACTGGTACTGGTGGCAAAGCTTCACAGCAACATGCAAGCCACCACAGTATGGCAAACTGACAGATGAGTGGCAGATGGTACAGATAAGGTATGTGAAAGCACTTTGCAAACTGTAAAATGCTATAAAAGGGTGAGGGATTGTCTCTACAGATGAGGTAATAGAAACTTAGAGATGTGAAGTATCCTGCCCAGCATTACAGAGGCAGATCCCGAACTAGGACCCAAGTCTTCAGTCCTCCCACTGTACCCTTCAAGTGGATGGGGGCAGGGCCCCACAGTGCCTCCTAGCAACCTGAGTATTAAAGATTTACCTAAAGACTTCTATAGCTTTAACGATCTTTTGATAATGAGGGGAGGTAAATATGTCAGAACGCCCCCGTTTTCCCTTGTTAATGAATTAAGATCTACCCAAGCTCAGTTTTTTAAGTTACATAAGCATCATTCAAAGCTTCTGAAACAGCCACTTTCATTTTGGAAAAACAGCATTTCCATTAAAACGGTGTTATATAAAAAGGTTTTGTGGATGTGTGTGTAGGAACAGTAGGAACAGGCACGCAAGAGATCTGTTAAGGCACATCGCTATCACAACCTCCCCTGTCTCAGTGAAAGAGGAGCCAAGGGGAGCAGGTGTTTGATAGTACCTGGTGAGTTACCTTGTCACCTACTCGTCCTGGACCACCAGTGAGACCTGGTGCATGCTGGGCAATAAGAACTGCAGCCAGGGGCTGCCCTCACCCACCCACCCCCAGGTAAAGAGATGTCTCTAACTTTCTGGGAGTCCTTCCCAGGCTATGAAATTAGTCCCATTGAATCACTGAACATCAGGGTTGGAAATGGTTCAGAAGTCACTTACTGCAATCGTGCTTTACACCACTCTTGCCAGCCTTGAGCTGAACAGCTCCCTTCCTTCCAAGGCAGCTCGTGCCACCTGTGGACATATGTAGACCACTGGAAAAGACCTGATAGTGAACTAAAACCAGCATCCCTGGAGCTATCATTTCTTAGAAACAAATGCAAACCCTTCATCTACAATCTGTAGCAGGAACCTTAGGGTTCAGGAGCTTTAGCCAGGGGAAGGCGCCCTACTGTTGTTCTTGTTATGTGCCGTGGAGTAGGACCCAACTCATAGCGACCCCTCCTTGGGTTTCCGAGGCAGTATCACTACGGAAGTAGATTGCCCCATCTTCCTTCCGAAGAGTGTCTGGTGGGTTTGAACCGCCAGCCTTCTGCTTAGCTGTCAAGTGCCTTAGGCACTATGCTACCAGAGCTCCCAGGGGAAGGTGCCCTAGGGCCCAAAGACCAAGGAGGGAGGGCAGAAAGAAGTCACAGAGCTGAAGTTCTTCCCATGGGGCTGACCTTTATCCATATAAGCTGAGGCTAGGATGAGATGGGGAGTAAGTTGGGTTTGGGGGGCTTAGGTTGGGGTGGGAGGAAGGGAGAGCCCTGAGTGGAAGCTAGTGGCTTTTAGCAAAGCACAGCATCCCAGGTCTCCTCAGATACAGTTGTGTAGGTCAGACTATCCCCTGGTGAGCTCCAGCCGACATTCTAGAGTCCTAGGGCCGCCCACACACATCCCTTTCTGGATTTGATGATTGTATCCTTTTATGTGAAACAGTGAGTCCACGATTCGAGGGCCAGAAGGAAGAAAACTGCCCCAGCTCGACCGGTTACCCAAAAAACACTCTTTCCGCCTTTTCAGAATATAAATTCCAAATCACGAACATCCCAGCACTCAGTAAGGAAATGTGAGCTTTGGAGTGGCCTTTTAAGTAGTTGAGAAGGGGGTGTGGCCGAGGAGATGGGCGGACGCAGCCCGGCGAGGGGGGAGTGGCCCGGGGGCGTGGCCATAGCGACTGGAATGTTGTTGGGTCTTCGCAACGCATAGTAAGGAGGGGCCACGCCCCTTTTCTCCAAGCGGGCCAATCGGAGAGCCGGAGCGGTTTCAAGTCTCCCCAGCCAGCCTGCCCTCCCGCCACCCCACCCCCCTCGGGGATTCGCTTTTTCCGAAACAAAATAGCAAAGCTCTGGATGGACCGCAGCCCCAGCCGTTCACAGGTGGAGGGTCTTGGGGCCTAGGACGCTACCCCGGAGCAGGAAGCGCCGGCGGGCCGTGGAGAGGCCAAGTCTAGAGCCGGGAAGCGCGCGGGGGTGGGCGCTGCAGCCGCGGGTTGTTTATCTGGAGTACGGAGGGGAGGGGGGAGCCTGGAAACCGCCCCGTGTCCCATTTCCTCCTCTTGTTTTCGCTCCGGATTCTCCATGTTGGACCCAAACTGAGGAGCCCGGAGCTGCCGCCGGGGGAACGGGGCTAGGGGCACCCGGGGGAGCCGCTGCCCCGGCCGCCCACCCTCCGTACAGGCCGCCTCCCTTCCCGGCCCAGGGAGGGAACGAAAGGGGGGATGTGAACAGCTGCGAGAGTCGGAGTCTTGGGAGCCGGAGCCGGCCCCCGCCCAGGCCCCCCAGCCCAGCTCAGCGTGCGCGCCCGCCCGTCCTCCCGCCCAGCCAGCCCGGGCCCGCGGGATTGTTAGATGGAACACGGCTCCATCATCACCCAGGCGCGGAGGGAAGACGCCCTGGTGCTCACCAAGCAAGGTAGGGGCAGCAACTTCCCAAAACTTTGCGTCGCCCCCGGCGGGGAAGGGGCTTGCACTGGCCCGAACCCAGTACCAGGCCTCGGACCTCCCAGGGCTCAAAGCGAGGAGTCCTGGCGATTCCGACCAGACCCCCTAATCCATCCGCCCACGCGTCCGGGTTGGCACTCAGACCCCCGTGGGGGCTGCGCGGGCTCCGAGGGGGAGGGGCGGTATCCGCGCAGCTGTCACCGCGTACCGCACCCCTCCCCCCGGGGCTGGGAGACGAAGGGGTAGCGCGCGAAGCTGGAGCCCACCGGCGTCTGCCCCCTCCGGAGTTGGGGGGTGGGGTCGTCACTCTCCAGCGCAGCAGTGCGCCGCTGCCCCAGGACCACCCGGAGAGGGGGACGGAGGTGTCCGGAGCTGGAGCGGAGCCGAGACCGGAGTCCAGCACCTCCCAGGTCCCCCAGCCCGAGGTCGCTCCGGTGGCGGGCAGTGACGGCGTCCGGCGGGACTTGGGACCAAGTTCACCGCCCGGAGGCGGAGGTGGCCGGGTGGGGGAGGGGCCGGGCCCTGGAAGCGCCGGACTTGGTCAGCCCCTGCTCTGCACTGGGCCCGAGGCCTTGGTCGGGCTGCCTCCGCCAGTCTCACTGAGCAAACTAGCCGGACCCCAAGCCCTGGCCGGAGCCCCTCCCTGCCCCAGTGCGCTCCCCCGGGGCCGCCGCTGCACACACACACACACACACACACACACAGCCGCGTTTGTTTAGCCCGGGAGCGGTGTCCCTGGTTACATAATTCGCCGGATGGCATCAGATTCGGCGTGTTTCTGAGTCGCGCAGCGAAAAAGTACTAGTTGTTCTGTGAACAGCGGCTCGAGACACCTCGCCTTCTGAGGGTCAGGTGGAGGAGATGCGAGGGGGAACGCGGGCCCTCTCGGGGGGTGGGCTTGAGCACGGGAGCGGGGAGGCGCCGGGTCCTCCCCAGGGGCGGGGTAAGGTTGGGGCCCCAGAGTGGGATCTCTCTTAGTTTATCCACAGTAGAGGCCCCAAAAGTCTTCTCTCCCCTCCCCCACATTTTTTTCTGGCCTTCAGGAATGTGTCCAAAATAGCGGACAGAATTTCCAAGGGAAGTAGAGACTAGCGTGTTGGGTTTTTTTTTTTTTTTCCCCCTCTTTCTGGAGAACTGCACGGACTGAGCCACCTGGCACTGAGGCTGGGAAGTAAACGCACTTACAGGACCAAATCCAGAACGTCCCTGTGTCTCCCCAACACCCTGCTACACACACACACACCCCCCCAAGAACAGCTGCATGAAGGTCCAGTGCTGCAGTTGAATATACTGAAGGCCTAGAGCCTGAGGGAGGGCAGCAGGGGGGGCCTCAGTATCCCACCACATTCACCCCCACTACATCTGGCAACATTTGAGTGATCGGAGAGGTTACTTATTCCTGGGGTTCACTGTCGCAAGAAACTCCCCACACTTGCCTAGGGACGGAGGAGCTGGGTTGGTGGTGTCAGCCGTTCACATCCATGTAGTGGAATGTGAGGAGGGGGCACAGTGTTATGTTTCCAGCATTACTGGTTCTTCTTTAAAGTAAGCCTTCCCCTAAGGAAGTACACAGCCTTGGCTGCTCAGAACACAACTCCTTGGAAAAGCCCCTGCCTCCTTAACCTGGGTTTTGGCATGATCCCTGCTCTCCTGGCTGCATCACTAACTGGCTGTGTGATCCAGGCAGCAACTTCCACTGCTTCTGCTGGCTGCTCTGCTCTGCTGAGGGCTGGAAAAGGGAAGCAGCCTGTGTGCAAAATTTCACTCTTGACTCTTCCCAACCTCTCATCCTAGGAAAGGACCCTAAGAGTGAGCAAGAGGTGGAGAGAGATGGGTGTGAAAGGATTTGAGAGGGCACAGTGATGATGAACAACAGGAAGAACAACCCTGTGCTTCCCCACCCAGGTCCTCTACTCTGATGGGCTGTCACCAGAAGTCCCTGAACTACTGAAAGGGCATTTACAAATCAGAGCTAGAAGCTGCATCCACCAGGGCAAACGGAGGGGGAGCAGTAGAGATGCACTACAGAAAGTAAAGTAACTAGCTTCTTTGACAGTGTTAGGTTGCTCGTGTTTGTTGGATTTTCTTGGATTTACTTTTTTCATTTTCCTTTTTTGTGGTTCACTCTTCAAACTTACTATCCCTGGAAAAATCTAAATTATGAAGCCAGCAGCCAGCTTGAGTCTCTCCCTCCCCATTTAATTTGATTGCGTTCCAGAAAAGGTACACTTGTTTCTGAGCTGCTTGGGTACCCAGCAGCCACCCAGCCAACTTTCTGAGGTGCTCATGATTTGCAAACAAAGCCTAAGTCTTTAAAAATTTGAAACAAAAAGGCAGATGTTTTAATTAGTTTTTTAGGAGTTCATTGTCCACCCCCACTGCTCAGTTCCACTGCAGCCCCTCTCCCATGCCCTGGGGAAAATGGAAAGCAATGTGAGTCATTTTATTAATAAGTAAACTTCTGGAAAGAAACAAATTGCTCCTACTTTGGGTGACTTTAGTGAAGTTGTTTGCCACTGAAGATTTTAAAGATCTTTTTTAGTAGCATTCTGTTCTCTGAGCTTTAAGATTGTTTGAGTGTTGATGATTCAAAAGTAATTATAGTAGGGGATGTAGAACAAAGTTGCTGAAAGCATTGATGATAAAAGGAGCAAGATTGGATCATCTTTCCAGACAGATGGGTAAAATGGCTTCCTGGTACAGCAGGGACAGGGTCATGTGTAACATCAAAAACAAAAAAGAAAAGTTAATATCAGTTTGTTAGAAGAGTGATCATTTATCACAGCCTATATGGGGGGGATCACTGCATTCCTGGGATGTTGTGCCATGGACTTTGGGGTTACATGGGGAAAAGCCAAGGAAACAGGGCCTGCCCCCAGCTTCTCAGTCTGGAATGAGAGTGGAGGCAGCCTCTTCCAGAGCATGAAGTGACCCACAGGCCATTTAGAGGAGCCAGGACACTTTTTGTTCGCTGTGCAGCCTGATGTCCCTTCCTGGTAGGGGGATGACGATGCCTTGGTTTCTTCTCACGTGAGGAACATCTGTTAGCTCATCACACGGATTCTCCTGAGAGACGTTGACCCTCCCTAGGAATTAGGATGGTGGCAAGTTTTTCTGGCAATTGCAGCTAAGCCCATAACTTGATAAACTTAAAATGACTCTTGCTGGGACTTTCTTTCTTAGCTTGTTCTATGTGTGTATATGTGTATGGGGGTGGTAGCGGGGGTGGTGGGGGGTGCCCCTTAACACTACCTGCAGGGGCCACGGTGCATGCTTATAGCAAATTCTTTCTGCCCAGCTGGTTCTTCTCACCTCTCCTTGCTCACCCTCTGCTCTTGGCCCTTTTTTTGTTGTTGTTCATACTGTGGCTGCTGAGGCTTGCTCCTGTGTCCTTTTGGAATTTTTTCCCCCATCTTGAGGCGGGGAGGCATGTGTGGCAATTTAAGCTTGTGTTTGCTCACTCCTGAAGAACCCCAAGGGAGTGCTGCTAACTCAGCAACAACTTTGTAAACGCCTAACACCCCAGGCTGGGGGTTTGCAATTGCTGTTGCCAAGTTAACTTGAGCTTTCAACTGAGCAGTGCTTGAGAATTGCATGAAAAACTTCTCGGCTTGGCAGAGGTGGTAGTATTCCACATCTCCTCCTTTCTCAATTATGGAGGTCTTAAACTGGGAGGCAAAAGAGGTGCCTAGTTCATCCTCCCTGTGGGATCTTCCAAATCACTCAAAATCATGAGTTTTGTTAAAATGGTAAGTGCTATAGAAGTCACATTTCCGGCCAAGGTAAATTGATGCTCCCATTCTTTTTCCAGGAATTAATTAACAGAAGCATTTGTAGCTCAATGTGGGAAAGAGAGACCACACATAAATATGTATATGTGTATATAAATAAATAATATGAGCATATGTGTATGTGTACACATGTACTTGTGTATATAGCCACTTCCCATCTAACTATTCTTCCTCAACATTCTCCATTCTTTTCTGCCAGCTTTTGGAAAAGTTTTGGGTATTGTCTTTTATTTCCAACTTGGGAGGTTTGGTTCTTGAATTGGATGAAGTGGAACAAGGGAAGAAGGGGGTGAGTTAGGGGATGTTAAAGTATTTATTGTTATTTCAGAAGCACTGTCCCTGAAGCAAGATTGATTGACTCAGGCCTAGGTGTGCATCCCTGCTTTTCCTTTCCTATTCACAGTGAGTGAAACCATTTAAATGGTCTTCTCTGTAAAATAAGAATAAGGGTTTCCCCCGCTATCTGTAAATAGAGCATTCCTATGATACTTTTTGTAAACTGAAATGAAGAAGCAATTACCATTATATGGGAAACATTTTTGTGCATTACCAGACCCAAAAGATAACTTAGCAAATCATATCAAATAATACATAAAACATAAAATAACAATAACATATAGTAACATAAAATAAAAGCAAAGGAGCTCTGGTGGTACAGTGCCTAACCAGAAGGTGGGTGGTTCAAACCCACCAGCTGCTCCTTGGAAGGAAGACAGGGCAATCTACTTCCATAAAGATTTAATGCCTTGGAAACCCAATGCGGCCGCTATGAGTCGGAATCGACTCCGTAGCAGTGAGTTTTTTGGTTATAGTAAGAGCCAGAATGGTAAAATAAAACACACCACCTATAGCAGAAACTGTGTGTGTAGCTCCTTCCCAGGGAAGGAGCTTGGCGGCAACACTGTTACTGCTTGGGGTGCGCAATGCCTATGCTTGCTGCAAAACACACACCAAATGCTTGTTTTGCTTTCCACCTTTTTTCACAGAAGTGAAAATCCTCTTCGGATTTCTTTTGGTTACAGAAAATAGGTACTAATGTAGGTCATTCATAAAAACAAAGTAGTGTGAAGTGAACTTTCATAATTAGGGGCTACCTGTAATGATGTTTACCTTTCTGTGTAATGCCTGGCGTTTAGTAGGTGGTTAGTAAATGTTGTTGTTGCTGTTATATGCCGTAGAG